ATATCTCAGCAACGTTGTGGTTGTATTTCGCTTAGTAACCAGCCATGAAAATTATAGAAGGCAGAAAACAAAACGTTAAACATTGTTAAACATTATGTTGTAGTAAGTTTTAAACGACTGTAATAATCGATAAGCCTCACTTCTACCTGACTTTTTTTTGAGAAAAAACCGTATTCCGTTTTGTAATAGAATCCTGGATGTCATACGGCTGCTACATTATTGAGTTTTTTTCTTAAAGATTTTCTTTTTGAGAAAATAGTTTACCAAATTTATTCCTTACAGGACTTAACAATGAAGCCTTGTCCGGTAAAAACTGTGGAGTCTTCTCTTATGTTCTTTAATGCTAAAGTTGTTTTTTAATGATACCATAATCCCTGTTATTATAGCAATTGGTTATGGTTAGATAGAGAGAAACGACTTTAGCTCTATAAGTTGCAACATTTTTCTAATAACTGCTTGTCAATTAACCTCGGCATTGATCGAACAATTCTTTGTATTCCTGTTTAGCAAAAACGAGGTGGCAAACTGTTCGCGTTTGCTAAACAAGAATATAAAAGAGTTTTCTCATATTTACATCATTAAGGGTGAGACTTAGTGGAGAGGGACAAAGTATTTAGGGAATAGATTTCTACGAAAAATGTTGTAACATTGATTGTGTTGACTGTTGTGTTTGTGAGTGTCGGTCAGAAATGCTCGAATGTTGTCACCGTTGTGTACTTTCGAAAATACGATTACTAGAAATAATTGAATCGTCTGAATGCGCATACTGGAGGATTGAATATTTCTTATCTGGCCTTGTTATTGTTGTTATTATGTTGTATTACTGGCAGAACAGTTGGTCTGATGTAGGAAAAGAACCATGTGACAACAACCTTATCCTATGAGATGAGCTAACGGCAGCTGCTGAGGGACAGGTGGAGCGAAGAACCCGCATAATGCGGTGGTGAACACGTTAGCCTGTAGCAAAGGTAATAGCACGTTCGTTCCCCACCGCAGACACCTGCAATCCGCAGTTTTGCAAGTGTCTCAGAATCAGCATGGGCTGACGGCATCAAAATTCCAAAGCGTCTCCAAAATTTACACTGATTTAGAAATTGATGCAGTATTAGTTCTTGTCATTGGATTTTGCACTAGAATCCCATCTAAAATGGTTGCTAACTTGCATGGGCATTTATAATTTGCTTGTATGCAATGTTAAGACTCTACATGAATAAGAAAGGAACATACTACCTTGCCCGTCACTGCCTAACTACCTTACAGTATACGGTCGCCAAAACATCTCTTTTGTGCAGTTCAACCTTCTAAAGCTTGTTACCAGAAGTTAAAAATTGGTTTACGTTATAAAACCCCAGATCTCGCTGTGTACGACAAAAATGACACAAATTTCAGCGAAAATCAACACTACTACTTCAATGCTTGTCCTCTTTTTTAGTGGATTTTCCAGTCAAAGTCGTACATTTTCCTTCCTCGCGTTTCACGTCAATTTATTGTTTCTACTTCGTTGTTTATGCATATGGCGATCCTCGTTTATCCATAAGTCTTAAATAAGAAATCGACTTCAGCAATGACTCCTTCAGTCCTTCAGGGGATAGCCTTCAGTCTTTTAACCCTGGCATGTTTACCTCTGAATCGTTTTTAATAAATTTGGTCGGTTCGGAAAATTACAGGTAGAGCATAAAAACTGTGCAACTCTAAAAGGAGGGGCTTTCGCATATGCTAACATCCAAGCAACGTCCCTAATTTGAACTGACTAACGATATTAGTTTTCTCTGTGAATTAGGTTTTAACTCTGATAATGACGAAAAGTGCTAGTTAGGACTTATGCTGACCTATATGTGGAAACCTACGAACTAGGCATCACTTCGTTTTACCTTCGCTTAACAAGACTTTCTTGAAAAAGCAAAAAAAAACCCCCGCATTTTCTTGAGATTCTTATATACCTCTACTTGTTAATCTTATCTTTTCTGAAACCTCTTTCCTTATGCAGGACGCGTCTGCTTCCTTTTCCCTGAGTCTTCTTTGTTTAATAGATCTAGTGCCAGTCATTTATAGATTCAATTGCTTTCTAGAAATCGATGAAGATGGTCCACTAACAATCAGTAAACAGTTGAGTTGGTGCGCCACATATTGTCTTAAACTATGTTTGCACCCAGCCTTAGTCATATGTGGAGCTTATGCATTTCGAGACTATTATTCATCAGTGATTCATAAATTCAGATCTGAACGAATTATCGTATCCGAAATTGGTGACCCTCACTGCAGAAATGGAGCAGCTTATACAGGTCTATAATGAAAGTTTAGTCGATGAACTGGCTCATAGGTGAGGCCAATCATGGATTAAATCTTTTTCTTTTGGGAATGAAGTACTTCTTCCACACATTCTTTACATTTCAGAGATGAACTGGAATACGAGAAAGAGATGAAAAACACGTTCATATCATTGCTTCTTTCAATTCAGAACAAACGTCGTCAATTCGTCAACGAGCGAAAAAGGAAGGGGGTAAGTCACCTGATCTATATCTGTGGCTTAAAACATTTAAATCGAATAAAAAGAAAGACTGCGAACATTACGATCTGAGCAGCCTCAGCTTAACCGGGTTGAATGCTGATTTGTGCTCTCCAGATCAATCCCGCTGATGAGTGATTGTTGATGGCAGCGTTAGGTAGAAAGCTAGCTTAGAGAAACGCAAAGCAAGGGTCTCAGTGGTCCAGGGTGTAATACGCGAGCCTCGAGAAAGGGTAATCGTGGTTTGATCTGTACAGAGGTCCAAGTTTTATGAATATCTCAGCATCTTTGTGGTTGTATTACGATCTGGTTTCACTTAAACACCTCATTTGGACAAATAATTCATGGCCAAACGAACGTTTTCTTCAGACAAAAATTGATCCGCTTCAACTTCCGCAGTATATGACGGCAAGTATTCCATACAACGACCACCAACATATGGATAATAACACGCTCGCTTCATTAATAAAAAGTAAGAGCCTGTTCATAGAAAGTCCATAGAAAAACATCTATTTCATCAAATATATTATCATAATCGCAACGTCTTTTCTATTTCATTACTTTTTTCGTAAAAAGACCCTATGCAACCAAAGGGGGCGTGTACTGCAGTGGGCGTAGGCGCCCTGAAATACACGTGGGATCGATCCCCACATCCTAGGGTCGTTAAGTCTTCCATGGCTCCGAAGTCGGAAAATTGCTACCACACTTGTCTGGAAGTATAGCAGCACGGGCTCGATACATTGGTAGGCCAACGCGAGTTATTGCAAATGCCAGATATGCATTTAATCACCTCCAACGATGATTAATGAAATCGAATGCATGGCACATCCTTCAGGTATGGATCAGCGCTGAGAGCTTCATCCTTTATCTCTTACTCAACCAAATGTCATGTAATCTAAAGGCGAGTTCTATAGAAGGATAAAAGGATAAAGCTATCGGCATTGATCCATCCCTGAGGGATACGCCATGCATTCGAATGCATCAAGTATCGTTGGAGGTGATTGAATGGACATCTGGCCTTTACAATAACTTATGGTGGCTTGCTGATGTATGGAGCCAATGCTACTATCCTCCCAGACAAGTCCTTTGTACCAATTTTCCGATCCCGGAGGGATGGAGGGCTTGGTGGGTTTTGGCGTCGAGATCGATCCCATATCTATCGCAGAGCGTCTCCAACCATTGTGCCATACGCGTGTGTTTTGTATCACCGTTTTTCGTACTTAGTGGATTACCGCTATGTGTTACATACAAATAAAAGTCATGCATCATTGAGTGTGCATTATGTGATAGGTAAATGTGTCCCTGATAGATGTCTCCCATACTTTGCAATGTTCTCTTCCCTTCCACTCTCTATATTCCTGAGCAATACAATTAAAGTTTTAGTTCTAAGAGCCATCAACAACGACAGCTTCACAGTGCCTACACTACTAACAAACTATATCTTAACAGGTAACGTTCTAATATTATCATCATCCCTCAAACAGCTCAACAATCCTGCCAGTTTGTTTTTCCAGTGGTGTGTCCAAAGACTGTAAACTGTTAGCTCGGTGCTTCACGATCTCCGCAGATCTCTATCGCCTTCTACAAAATACTCTCAGTTTCCACTTACTTGTCGCACCCAAACCCACTGTATAGCAAAATTTTTAAACTGCCCACAACATTGTTTTCAATCCTTCACAAGAGTTACACCTATGCACCCAACGTGCCAGTATTGAACTTCAGGCGCCATTAACAATGTCTCCCACTAGTTGTACGAATAATTACAAAGCAAGCTTAGTTGGTTACACTAAATGGTCGCAAGTCACGCAAGAAATCAATCAAAACCTTTATTTCTCTCTGTGCATTGCTTCAACTGTTATTTCTTGTATCCAGAACTATCCAATGAATCCATCATATTCAACGTTTAACCCCGGCATCATCTTATGGTGCACATTATTTAGTAAATTTAAATGAAAACAAAGCTTTTCAATTGTAATGAATAGATGGTTTGCTATGTCGCTACGGTTTCTAGCCGTCTATGTGTTGTTTCCGATAAGAAAACGCTATGCTTAAGAATTATGCGGTTACTCCGCAAGCAGAATAAAACTTCATTTTTGTTTGTTTGCGTGTTTGACACTTTCTTCTATGGCAAAGGATCTTTTCAAGAATAGTTATAGCTAATGGAAATCGAACCTCTACGTCACGTTCAATCCAAACTTCTGTTTCTATTAAGCGCTAGCCCAGTTGAATTGCTAGCTCCTCAACTGCTTCAAGCGGTACTCGAAATGATCCTACATAGATACAGATTTCTGCAGTTTTCAGTAAACGATATGAAATGATTTGGGTCACCGACAAATTCTGATCCTTTCACATTTAAATATTGTTGTAGTGATTTTATGCGTAACTTTAATTGTACTCTCTTGAAATAAATAGATCACAGCCTATCAAAGTAGATGTCTATTTCAATAATAACAGTAGTACAAATGAAACAAATAACAAACAATACTTATTGTCAATCTCTTTCATGACAGACCTTATTACAAACATAGAAAGTACGTTCACCAAGAACGTGTAACTGAGAAAGATGCCCCATGGTATACGTCTCGGTATCCCAGTGGGCAGCACCACCATTGGTACCCTAACTGTTTAGTGTACAAGGAAACTGTCCTAGTAACTAGCCTTTGTAAATTGTGATACTTACAAAACAACCGTTTTCGGACTATGTCCAATATAAAATGTGTGCTAGGAAAGCCTTCGATGTAGTACAGATGTCCCAAGAAAAACGTGGTCGGCAAAGGAAAAAATCAAGAAAATGTGCAATTAAACCAATGCGCATTGGTGCTGATGATACATTAAAAATAGTAGAAGTTCCGTACATGTTGCAATAAGTAGTACACATGATTTTCTGCCTTAAACCAGGAGTGGCTGTTTGCAAGATGTAAATTTCACGGCCGCTATTCTGAGCAATAATGAGAGTTCTGGACTATTAAAACACAAAAAAGAAGCTTAATCAAACAGAAAAAAACAAAATTTGGACGAGAGAACACAAGAATATCTGAAGTCTAATATCCATACCACATACAGATGATGTATTCGATAAGAATGAAATAATGTGGTTCGCTTTCAATCAGTACCTAGCTAAACTGCAAAGACGTTCTACAAATTACGTGACTAGATCAGCTCCTTTCATTTGCTTGAACTGATCTTTTCTAAAGACCTTGAAAGGTATATCACCGTGCACAGTAGTTAAACTCAATTTTCTTTCGGCATTCGAAGGAACCAATGCTCGGGAACACTTTCCGATGGGGGAACGAGCATGAGCATATACAGATTCTGGTATTTGCGGATACCGATGAACATCCGGGGAGCTAAAAACGTTCATTAATTCTCCACATAAACAAAAATCAGGTTAATTTGCAATAGGAAAAGGCAATGTTTTTATTTTATACGATCTGTCTTCACGTCTAAAGTGCGGATCCCTACACTTCTCACATTCGATTCTTTCCTCGCATCCATCATCCACTATGGTCTTCCAATGTTTACGTGTGGCTTCGGTTACTGTTTGATGACTTCCATTGCATCTTGAGTGTCAGAAATGCTGGTCGAGTTGACTCTCATTGGAGCCCTCAGATAGCCGAGCTGTAAGCTCCCACTTAGATAGCAGACAGCAATTTTTCTCGGAAAAGTCCGGTACTAATTTCTCCATCACAGAGGGATGAGGTTTGGCGAGTTCGGAGCGGGATCGAAAGCACCGTGTTGGTGATGATGACCATCACCACCACTGTGCTATCAGTCGTCCGGAAAAAGCAACAACAAATTGTAATAGCCACAAAACTTCCTAGATGGCAGATACCGATCCCAAAAAACCAGTACTAGAACGCTTGTATCAAACAGCGCACAACACTGTTCAATGACTAGTTTTCATTGGCGTCAATGTGGAGCAACGCCTAAATTTCAGCGGAATTCATATATTTTCAACAAATCCAGTAATTCAGGAGTTGACAACTTGACCATTTTATAGAAAAGCTTTTGTTCTGTTGTTCTACCGAAATAAACAATTTTTTAAAAATCTTGACCTAATTAGTGTTTAAAATCCAAATCTCCAAAAAATCGGATGAAAATATTCAAATTCTTGGAATTTATAACGAAACGTGTCGCGACAAGCGCTTACACCAACGACACCTTTTGGACAAAAACCATAACATGAATCTGTATGTTCAATCGATTTGCTGTTTCTAACACAACTTTTGGAGGATAATAAAAGGAGTGTTAGAATAAAAGAACCTCTACCTTTTCGCCAAAGATCTTTAAATTTCAATGATGCTGAGGCATTTGCAAAACTCCCGCTGACGGATGATTGCTCATGGCAGAGATAGAAATAGCTGAGAGACAGGCGGAACGAAGAACCCACATGGCGTGGTGGTGAACGCGTTACTCCCCGGAAAGGACAATAGCGCATTTGTTCCCCACCACAGACACCTTCGGTCTGGAGTTCTGCAAATATCTCGGCATCATTGAAGATATATTTCGCAATTAAAACCTGCCATTAAAAACAGTAGGCAGTAAATAGTAAGTTGAAATCGTGACCTTTAGATTCCACTGGTTCTTGCTGAATTACCAAAGCTCATTATAAGCCGAGCCACTTTCTTTATAGTGCGAGATTACACAGTTCTCAGTCACTTGAAAACAAAGTAGTGGAGGCCTTACCAAATTATTTCCTGCACTTGTACGAATTACGAAAAACTCAAACCCCAGACGCCCCGACGTATAGCTGGTGGTTTATCACCGCAATAGGGCCTCTCAGGCTGAGAAAGAGTTCGGCGTTTTCGTTAGGAAGACCAGCTAAAAGTGAACCAATACCAGAATTCACTAACGTCCTGGTATGAAACTAGTCGCATGGTGATGAATCTCCCTCTGACCTACAAGGGCGGCGACTACTTGTGGTGGTAACGACGTGGGGCATACTTTGGCTAGACTGACCTAGGGACTCCATAGAACCACAATGGATAACACAGCAAAACTATGAAAAAGTGGAAATTATGCTGGGGCAAGCACAACCAGCGAAAACTAACCATTCAAGTGTAAAATATTAAACACGGAACATGAAGTCTACCAAAGAATATTAAAACTGAAAATTAGACATACTTATTAAAGAGACAGATTACACCGTTCCACGCAACCATTTCAGCGTTGTCCGTGCACAGATGCGGGCTGACCTTGACAACTTCAAGTCCATGAAAATTTGCTAGCTTGGAAATTCCTTAACAGGTTCTTTCGTCAAACCATCAAAGACAAACATACGAGTCTTTAAGTTGAAAAAATAGTAAAAGTTCGTAGAACTGATCCATCTAAAAAGCTGCCGCGTCCAAATAAAAATTGCCTTAAGAGTTGGAAGTTGATTCAATTTACACAGCTGACTTACATAGGTCTACTGCTCAATGAAACAATTCCAAATTAGTCATTTTACACATTATTAGAGTATAAGTCTACATTAACCATATAGAGAATCATGCTATTGTACCTTTGAAAACACCGCTTAATTAAGTGCTGTTGCTTTCCGCGCGTGTAGTGCAGTGGTCGGAGGCGCCCTGCAATACACCTAGGATCGACCCAGGTCGCCAAGGCTCACCAAGTCTTTCGCCCCTCCGGGTCGGCAAATTGGTATCAGACTTGTCTGGGAGAATAGCAGCACAGGCTGAATACATCGGTAGACCACCGTGAGTCATTGTAAAGGCCAGATATGCATTGACTCACCCCTAACGATGCTTAATGAACCAGTGCTGCTATCCTCCCAGAAAAGTTGAATGCATGGCCCATCCCTCAAGGATTGTTTAACGTTGAGAACTTTATTCTTTTATCTTTGTTTATCTCCTTTACTTTAAGACACCGCATCGTGCGACAAAAAAGCAAACAAAAGAAACTAACCGTTGCAAATGTAATCGTTTGCAGCCACACCACCACTGATTACCAATTTCTGCACAAACGATAACTGACCAGAATCTGTCAAGTATTCCAAGCAGTTGTGTAGTTTTTTAACTAGATGGCGAGTAACGTGATGCTATAACACACAGCTCAAGAATAATAAGGACAAAGGAGTACTTCAAGCACAAGGTTAAATAAGTAAATATACATGTGTAATCATAACTATAATAGGATTCCTACCTGAACACTAGCGCAAAAATCTTCCATTGAAAAGCCTGCGCCGTTTATTTCCTTTCTAATAAGGTTGAGATAAGAAGATTTCAACGTTGAGAAATTCATATCTGCTCCTGAAGTGTGAGGTCCAGCAACACTATAGCGCAAATGACCGTTACTAGAACATCTGAAAACAAAAAGAAACGAATAGTAGAACGAGACAGTTTGATCAAACTATTATAGCATAATGAAATAGAATTTCATTCCTAATTAATACCTCCTCGCCAGTTGTTCCAAAGCTGCGCCTGGGTGGATGTTACGGAATTCGTCAATATCATTTAGCTGGAGTTCTCTTGCGACTTTGTCTAGACATTCTCCAGGACTCCCTGAGATACTTTCACCTAAAACATATTCGTACTGTAATAAAACGTAGATAGCACTCACAGTTATTACTAGAGATATCTACAGTACGTCCTACTAATTACCGTATACAGTGAAGTTTTCCGACGACAGTGCTAACGCAATCAGTGCATGACTGCCTGAGATTAACATGGTCAGGAAAGGAAACTGCAGATTGTCACAAATAAGAAAAGCCGATACTGCATGGGCACGCATGTGATGTATAGCAACGAAGTCTTTTTTGTATTGCCTGGATGAAATCCCAAATGATATTTTAAAATTAGCCATTTCCTTCACTCTCTCCCTAACCTCGATAATTCAAGTCCTTTTTGAATTCCTTCTTTCAATGCAATGACCAACCCTGGTCTCGTAGTGACGGCTATAGCATCAACATCTGATACCGACAATTGTGCTTCATTCAGACACTCACTCAAAAGTAGAGGAAGATGCATTTTGTGCTAAATATTAAACAAAAATTTCCAAAAGCCAAAATTTTATTCACCGCCACAATGCCCAGACAGTTAGTATTCCTAATGAACTGAGACTAGATGTGGATAAATGAATGTCGATAGACCATTATCCACCATATTCATTTCACCTTTAACTACGAGATGAAGAATAAAGGATATACCTCTTGGCGTTGGTCAATATTTCAGGGATCCGCCATGCAATCAACATTAAGTAAGCATCGTTGGAGGCGATTGAATGCAAATTTGGCCTTCACAATGACTCCGCACTCCGTGGACTACCGATGTGCCGAGCCAGTGCCACTATCCTCCCAGAAAAGTGGATGAACCATATGAAATTATTATTAATCCCAAGTGTTCAAGGAGTACACTCGCATTCTAACATCATTCTTAGCTGCGCTATTATCTAATTGGCAGCATTAGCACACTCGCCAAGGCGCTGGTTTTCCATTAACTGCCGACAGTTTCTCAGTAACTCGAGCAGTCAAAGTTCAGACTTGACGAGCTCACAACAGACGTTATCAACCTCACTTTGGGCATAAACATTCCCGTTAAAGTACTATATGCAAAAAAGTGTGTGATTTGCAGTGGTTAGAGGTGCTTGCAATCTCTACGTGGCCGTTGGTTCGACCCAGCATCCCGCTGTCATCAAGCCTTCCATTCTTGACGATCGGATCGAGATAATGGTATCAGAGTTGTTTGAGAGGAGAAAAACAATGACTTTATATTTGTAACGCTTAAGGTCGAATGCATGACGCATCCCTCAGGGAATGATCAACGCCGAGAGCTTTAACCTTCGTTCTATGCGGAATACAAATTTCCTTAAAACCTAAACTTTTGAATCATCAAGTGTATGGCAGCCACAAGCATGAACGACATATCTGCAGACATAAATACAACCTGCTGGACAAAATACCACGGGTTCAATAATTTTTTTGCTCGCAAATTGTGCCCAAAAACTAGGGAGAAAAATGGGTTCAGCAACATTAAAATTTCGTCGTGGTATACCAAGAAAACTCGTGTTTCGTTGGCTTAGGCTTGTAGATACTCTTTTTCCAACTAATAAAGTTCATAATGAACTGACAGAAGTTTTGCTAAAGCTGCAAACTATCCTGCTTCCCTTCCCGTCAAATACACGTAAGACATGATTTATTTCGTGCTCAATTGATGTGCAGTAAATGTCTTGTCGCTTGTGACCTTTTCACCTCAATGGTTTCCATCATTTCATTATGTCACGTCCTGATTATGCCGAATGTGGCCCAGTGGTCAGAGGCCCCCCGCAATGCAAATGGGATCAATCCCGCTCCCCAGGCTCACCAAGCCTTCCGTATTCAGCAAACTGCTTCCAGACTTGTCTGGGAGGATAGCAGCATTGGCCTGATACGTCGGTAGGGCACCGCGAGTAAAGGCCAGATATGCATTCAGCCACGCCAATGATGTTCAAGAAGCGTATACATGGCGCATCCCTCATGGATTGATCAACAATGAGAGCTTTATACTTTTATCCCTAACGTTCTGAGTTGCTTCATAATAACAGAAAGAAATAATCCCAAGTAAATTTCACAGAAGCTTTATATTAAATGTAGGTACTTGTTGTGCGACTTCTCGTGGTGAAATACCTCCCAGTTTTCGCTGTGTCTCACGATCTGTAAACCGTTTCGACGATAAAACTTTCTTGTCATCTCGTACTAATGCCACTGCAGTATCGTCACAACTAAAAACTACACAATCTCACTGGTAATTTACTACCACACAAACCATTTATGAACACTTAAAGGCTATTTTTAAAAGCGTACCTGCTCTCAATACCAAGAACAACTATACTTCTTCTTTGAATCAAAGCCACCTGAATGCATCGACGAACATATGCCATCCCACACCAGTTAACAAATCTCGAGCCCCACGCTTTGAACGCTATCCTAAACTACAGTAATAAAATTGGCAAATCGTGGCGGGATCACAATCCATTCCAAAGTTGTGCAGGGCATCGCCCGCGTGCCCCGCTCGGCATGAGCGTTCGTCCCAGTTTCGTCGTGGTTTGCACCGGCTATGGCGACTCGTGTTTATATTGGACGTCTGTCCTATCGTGCCTCTGAGCGTGACATCGAGCATTTCTTCCGTGGTTATGGACGTATTCGTGATATTGTTCTGAAGAACGGCTTCGGTTTTGTGGTTAGTTGACGTCTTTTCGGGTATGCGAGGTTAACCACAGAAGTAGCAAGCTGTATGGACATTGACGGTTGTGAGAAGTGTGGAATGTGGAGCCCTGCGAAGAAATTCCTTAAGCGTGTAGTTGTAGAAAATAAAGAGAGCAGCGCAAAGTAGGGGCCTCTAATGCAGTGTATAATACGCGAGTCCTCGGAAAACGCAATCGTGGTTCGATCTGGCGCGGGGTCCAAGTTTTGCGATTATCTGAACATTTAGTATGGAGAATAATGAGGGTAGTGTTAGGAAAAGGCTGTCGGTTGTTTTTACTATCAATACAAGTAGGAAATTCTTCCCAGCTTGTTTATAGTGTTGCTTTGTTTTGCAGGAATTTGATGAGCCGAGAGACGCAGACGATGCTGTGTATGATCTCAACGGCAAGGAACTGGCTGGCGAACGCGTAATGTTGGAATTCTCGAAACGTGGCCCAAGGGCAGGTGGTGGGCGAGGATTTGATCGTTATCCTCCGCAAAGGAGAGACGCCAGGTTAGCTCGCTCAATGGTTTTGAATCGTCAATAATCGTTAGCACAGTATTTGATAAATTGGGTTTATTCTTCCATTGGAATAAAAAGCGTGGATGTCAATGCCATATCACGTAGGCTCTTCTTTCTCACTACATCGTCAGGGGTGCACAGGGCGTGATCCTGGAGGAGAGTCACGTGTCACACGCACGCATGACGCGCCGCGGCAGGGTGTGTTACGACGGAGTGCGGCGGTTGGCGACTGGGTAGGCTAGGGGGTTCTCTTGCAGTTCCCAAGGATGACATGGCGCAGAAGTTGTTTGTAGCGACATTTCCGTTGTTGTTTAATTCTATGTCAAGACGTCTAGTGAGAATGAAGAGTTGACAGTGTATAGTTTGTTGAGACTACGCTTTTTTGAGTCACAATAACGTGAAAAGGTTTGAAATGAATAGCACAATGCGTTGTGTTATTTTGCGGTTGGAGTGAACCAAACGCTATTGGTGGTCATTCCATATGCACACACTTAGTTGCCGCAATTTCTAGACCTCCAGCATTATTGTTTGGAAGGTAAATTATTATATGAAGAACTATTTGGATTGCAGTGTATTTTTCTCAATGCGACCCATTCGTTTCTCTTGTAATTGGTTTAGTTAGGGAAAACCCTCTTTTAACTACTCTTTTTCCTCTTTTTTACTCTTTTACCAACACACAAATCGTTTTACACTCCCGGTTGGGTACTTTGAGGTTAATATTTTCTTGGTGCCTTTTACTTATTTTACCACGTTTTGGGTAGTAATAATCTTTCAGTTTTTGCCTTTATGGCCTTTGAACAAATATTCTGTTAGGGTTTATTGTATATTAATCTTGACACACTCAAAGTTTAGGCTGGGGGACCAGCGCAAGCGAAGCTTTGGCGGAAGACAAGGCCCAGAGTACTGTGTTTATCTGAGACTAGATTGTCCTATACCCCATCTATTTGTCATGTTTTCAGTTCTAGATATGGTCCACCCACGCAGACTCGCCATCGTATGATCGTTGAGAACTTGTCCACGCGTATATCATGGCAGGTGAATCTATTTAACATAGAGTCTATTTGTTAATCATTTCAGGATTCCGTGCGTGATGTGTGCACGTTTGGCGTAGCCCTTCGTGGTCGCTCTCTCTATGGCGGGGTTCTGAGACGATTTTCTATTGCTTCTGAGCCGTATTTGACCCTCGTTTCTTTCACTTTAAATGAATCCTAGCTCGTTGATGTACGGTGAGCGAGCGTCCGTGCATGACGACGGCGAAATCATCGCGAATGCTTCGATCTGGCTGTGGTGCGAGTTCGGAAGTAGCGCGCGTGGTGGTGATATGGCTGACGACCGTTCGCGTCTATTGCGTCTGCTGCGACCAATGATTACGTTTGTGTCCGAGTTGTCGTGACTACCGCTCTGGGTGTTCGCGAGGGTGTGACTTCTCCCGTTGAGACGAGGTCGTGACGGTGCCTTTTCCAAATCGAAAAAACGGTTAGTGTGCCCATGAAAACTACACTGGCGCAACAGTAATACAGCCATTTATTTGCGTTATATACCTGCTACCAAACGCCTTATTGAAATGCGCTTATGAGTTTGGTATTCTACTGCACTGAATGGTATCGTGTGGACAACTAGGAACTGGCACGTCTATTTCGTTAATGTGACCACTTTTGTCTAGTTTAAGTAGTGATATTGGTAAACTTTAGCGAAGCGTTCTATGCTTGGTAGGTTATTGAAATTTTGGTCATAGGTGGATTTTGTACTCTTGAGCAAGTAAAGTGGATGTGCTGTATTTATAGTGAATATAATGTCTAAACTCCTATTTACTAGCTATTGGTTTTTCTTGGCAAGTACTTATGTGAAATATAACTACATGGACGGTGAGGTGTGAACAAGGCTCGGAATCTTAGGTCGATTCCGGATCCACGTTTATCCTTTCCAGAGCTCACATGCAGTTTGCTTAACGGGCTCATTCCAGTTGAAGAGTGATTGATAGCGCATAGCACCGCTTGAGAATGAAACTTATTGAGAAAAAGTCCAAGCAGGGGTTTTTGGTTGATGTCAGGGAGCGCGTGTGAGCTCTCGGTAAGGGTAGCCAGGGGATCGAAAACCAGCATTGGGTTTCGAGTTTTGCTCATAGCTCACCATCCTTATGCTCATAATTTATGTCTTGGAGGAGGTGTTTCTAGCGTGGTAAGCGCTGAAATTAACTTGCAAACACTATAGTAAGGGTTGTGAAATTTGAAGGCTTTTGAATTAAGACAAGTAGAAAGTAGCAAAAGTTAATATGGAAGTATTAATCTTGCTGGTTCCTATTGTACGACGATGCTGTGCAGTGCTTCATAGGCAGTCATTTAGTACCATTCCCTTAAATGACAGAGCAAAAGCATATATTTAGCTAATGTTCAAGTTTTTAGGACTTGAAAGATTTGATGCGCAAAGCTGGATGTGAGGTGACATTTGCCGACGCTCACAAAAATGAAAGAAATGAAGGGTAAGCGAATCATCTATTAAGTTTGGACGATGAAGTTCTTATTAGCCAAATGCGCTGACTTTAGAGTGGTATGCTTTGCTACGCGTGAGGATCTTGAACGTGCACTGGACAAGCTGCAAGGTGAAGACGTAAACGGGCGCAAGCTGAAGTTGATCGATGACTCCGAGAGAAGCCGTAGCCGATCTCGCGATAGGAAGCGCTCGAGGAGCCGCAGGTTGGTGACACGAGTTCTTAGAATTATTTGCTTGCAGCGGTTGCTTTTTTCCTTTTAGCCGTAGCCGTTCACGTTCTCGATCCAGAAGTCGTTCACGCTCTAGAAGTCGTAGCAAGTCCCGCTCACGATCGCGATCTCGTTCACACAGTGCGTCGCCAAAGAAGGAGAATGGCGATCGTGGTCGATCCAAGTCTGGATCTCGTTCAAGAAGCCAGTGAGTATTAGAGTATTCTTTGGCTCTGTAGGATGCACGCCCCATATGTTTATTTCCAGGTCTCGTGATGGCTCGCGCCACTCCGCTTCTCCAGCTGCGAATGGTAATGGTGAAGCTGCTATGCGTTCAAGAAGCCCCACTCCTCCAAATGAGGACTGATTATGCTCGTTGGTTCTCATTTCGATGGTAAAGTTTTCATGTTGTTATTCTGTGCGACTTGATACACCTTCTGATTATTGTACTGTGGTGTGCTTTGAGTGAGTATCGTCGCGTTATATTAAATTGTAGATCTCTGGTCACTGTTCATATTTATGTTTCATAAACATTGAAGTGTTCAACTGTACAAGTAGAAGATTTCATAGAGGTACAAGGGTTGGACAGTTGGGTATTTCAGAAGTTGAGAACTTTCTCGGCTTGTGAAGAAATCTGTGTGTTTTAAAATTTAAACATTTAGAATTGAGACCGAAGAATAGGCCATGAATTCTCTTTTGTTTTTTTTTTGCTTTCTATTCGAATTACGAGCAATAAAGTGGAAGATGAAAGAGTTGTCCTATAGGCAGAGATTTATAGGTACTAGGTTTGTATTGGGACTTGAAATTCATTATGAGCTGAGAGATTTGAAGTGAGAACGCGCTATTGGTACCGGATGGACCTTCTAAAGGTAGGGTCCGTAGCGAATGTATGGAAGTCAGTGGTGCCGTGTAGTCGGGATGGTAATAGATGTGCTTGTTCACTGCGGTGGAACGGTCGGAGACATGACCGATGATTTTTGCTTCGTGGTGGTGATAACTAGTATAACCGCGCAGGTTATCTGATTTATGTACGTTGTTGACGGAGAAGTTGTGGGTTTTCGCGTTGGAGATTTCCTATGGAAGATTTCGAGTTGACAACGCAAGGGGCATGCACTGAACCTGGGACAGGTGGCTTTGGAGAATCGACTACTATTCGGTGGCGATCACTAGTGGCCTATATTGCGTTTGCGCGTAATCATATGCGTATGTGCTGGGTATGATTGGATGTTTGCCGGATGGATTTTCAACGATGATTCTCTGTTACATTTCAAACAATATTTTCAACAGATTGCATTTTACCGCATGGTGGTTCTGGCAGAAGGGAAAATAGAGGAGTCGTATAGCAAACACGAGATTTTGGGGTTAGGATTACGCGCTTTACGCATGGATCTAGTATGAGGCAAAACTTCTAAAGGCACTCGGGTCAACCTCGGGAATCCAGATGTGAGCCATAGCGAGGACTTGCTTAATACAAGTGACCTGACTCATATATTGGTTTAATAGTTTGGCTTGGAGTTCGTTTTCTCTGACGAACGACCTGTAGGTTGTTCGCGAGAATATGTGGCGGATAGGATGTTATACGGGAAGGAAAGGCGGTTACGTGCTGGCTTGATAGAGATGCATCAAGTACACTGACGTTATGGTTTTGTTGCACTGAGGTTACATATACATACTGTATCTACGTAGAAATTTTCATGCATATGTGCGTCGGTGATCATTATCGTATATGGATCCACGGGTCTCCCTCATGAAGGGATCTCTTGCCGCTAAGCAGCAAGGTAACGTGGTATGTCCCCAAGTAGCGTATAGGAAGTTAGTCGCGGACCAAAAGCGACATTTACTTCCCTGAGACGCAGGTGGAACCAGTGGATGGACTCCCTGTTTCTGTTGCGCCGATTTGGCATATACTTTCTGTATTTGTGAGGCGTATTCATGCATGCCTGTGTGGCTGCGTTCTAGTTTATGCGGGTTGCATTCTACGGGTCAGTCCGGCCAAAACCTGCAATTTAGTGTCAGGGAAGTACATGGGAGGCGGTTAGAAGTCGACTCCAACAAATAGGCTCCATATCCTCTCTGGGAAGGGCCGGCGAGTTACCCATGAGTATACCCAGCCCTGACGTTCAGAGCCCAGCAAGCTATTCTTGCGCTATTCGTATAAACGGCTTAATTGCCCGCGTTTGAGATATTTCTTTGTGGGTATCAAAAAAGCTAAAAACAGTAAAAGGAACAGGTCTCATTCCCCTGACCCCAAAAGAGCCCCCAATTCGGCAGCGTTGGGTGGGACGAGTACAGAGAGGCTGCTAAAATCTGAGCGCCAATGGAAGCTACCTGGGTCGCAAAGGACTAAGGTGACGATCTGTACCTACAATGCACGTACACTTGCATGCGGGTCCTTGATGGAAGGCTTGATCATGCGAACAAGAAGGATAAGGTACGAAGTCATTGGCCTGACCGAGGAGAACTGTTTTTCGGAACATGCGACAGTAGAGGAGTCGGCGGCGTCGGCGTTCCGGTCAACACGAATTTGTCCATGAATCTCCATTCATTCGAATAACTAACAAAGTTAGTCCGATGTTTACGGTTGAAGGAATTTGGATCATTGCTGGCTTCAACAATGTTTGTCATCTACACGCCGACATCAAGCTATAAGGATGTGTTAGTTGGCCAGTGGATTAGGGAGTTGGTCGTATTTGTCTTTTGTCCGCCAACTGTACGTGGAATCACAATCTTAACCCTTTTATTTACTGCCTTTTTCTTTTTAATGGCAGGGTATGTTGCGAAATATAACTCGTATATAATGCTGAGATATTTGCAAAACTCCGGACCGCAGGTGTATGCGGTGGGGAACAAAGGCGCTATTGTCCTTTCCGGGGAATAGCGCACTTCACCACCACACCATTCGGGTCCTTCGTTTTGCCTGTCTCTCAGCTATTTCTATCGATCTTTGCCACAGCAATCACCCGTCAGCAGGATTGATCTGGGGCGCCCAAATCGGCATAGAACCCAGTTAAACTGCGGCTGTAGTTGAAATCACAATGTTATACCTTTTTATTGTCTGCCTACTATAATTTCGCGGCAGGGTACTAAGCGAAATACAGCCACAACGTTGCTGAGATATTTGCAAAACTCTGGACCGCAGGTGTCTATGGTGGGGAACGAACGCGCTATTGTCCTTTCCGGGGAATAACGCGTTCACCACCACACCAAAAAAAAACTAGAACGCAGCCACACAGGCGTGCATGAATACGCCTGAGTACTATAACGAAATGGACCACATCATAGTAGATCGAAAGTTTTGCCTCACCGATATCGATGTCTCAAAATTCTACACGGGACCGGATCATCGCCTCCTTCGTGCAAGATTTAATTTCTAGCGGAAAAGGAGAAGAAGTTAATTTCTGGCGGAAAGGAGAAGAAGCCGCTTCCCAGAATTTCCCAGAATATTTCGCGCAAATAAGGGGGTTGGCAATGGGACAGCGATTGGCACCAAGCCTGGCCATTGTGTTTATGTCTAAGATAGAAGCCCCTGTTCTCGATCTCCGGCCACTACTCTACTGCAGATATGTAGATGATTGTTTTGTCGCCTTCTCTACGCAGGAGGAGATGGACAAATGCTTCGAATTATTAAACGAGCAGTCCGAGTACATAAAGTTCACCCGGGAGAAACCGAGAGAAAACTGGCTTCCGTTTTTGGACGTCCAAATAAACCTATCAAGTAGCGGTTACCTGACAAAGTGGTATCGAAAGCCAAGTAACA